ACAATTCATATAGAAAAATAGCGATTTTAACGGAATTTCTGCCGGAATCTCTCTAGAAATGCCGGAATTTGATCTCTGGATAGAACTTGAAGAGCCCATTCGATCAGTAAAATTCCATAGATAAGAGCGGTTTAATTTACCGGTAAAAAATGATTTTGAAAAAACATTTTTAAAATTTTATTTCACAACAATTCATTTCAAAACACATTTCACAACAAAACATTTCACAATATCAACAACAGGGACTCCAACATATACATAACACTAAACTTTTCCAATTTCTACTTCGTCAAAATCGTTTTTGAGATTTTCCAAATCACACAATGCTTTTTCAAAGCTATGTTGAATAACATCAGATGAAATGGATAAGAAACTTTCGCTAACTAAAAATGCAGCTTCTTCGTAGCTCATCCTTCTCCTTATTCCCTTTTTTGTGTAAGTTGCTTTGGCTTCATCTCTTATCCATTTTTCCCAGCCAGCTTTCAAGTGGTCTTTAAACGGTTTGTTGATGCTGACGTCTAAGGGTTGCAATATTTTAGTCAATCCTCCTGGTATTACGGCAATTTTGCTATATTGTTGACAAAATTGTTTCACTTCATCAGTTACGTGGCAACGAGCAGAATCAAATATCAGCAAAGAGCGATCAGGGTCGGAATTGTGATTTTCTCTTTTGTTCCATACTTCAACGATCCATTCTTTCATCAATTCCTGATTCATCCAACCTTTTTCATTTGTTTTCACAATGACATCTGGAGGAAATTGTCCTTTTGGCATTAACTTCTTCTTGAAAAATTAGCATTGGCTTAAGTTTCTCTCCAGCAGCAGTCACTCCCAATTACAACAGTAAAATTAGATTTCTCATGGCCGGTAGAATCAATTTTAATGTTCTCTCGTCCCTTCACATCAACTGTCCCGTTCATAGATGATATCAAAGGGAACTGGTACTTCATCAATATTTCCCAAATTGAAAGGGGATACGTTTAAGGCTTCAGCTGTAACGAACTTCCGAAAATCCGAGCATTTTTGTAGATGGTCAGACGGTAATGGTTGACCGACACTTGTTCTTCTTCGTACAGAGAGCTTTTTTCGCGCCATAAACAGGCTGCACCAATGCGCAGATGCTTTAAAATTTTGGTGACCATGCTCTTCTGCTAATTCCTTTGCTTTGGTCCTTATTTCTTTCACCGTGACAGCTCTATTTTCTTCTCGTTTTTTGACAACCCAGTTGTAGATGGCATCTTCAACTTCTTCAACGCTTGGTTTTTTGTATCGTCGGGCTCTCTTCGTTGCTGGCATCTCTTGAAGATTTTGTCGATCAACAACCCACTTTCTTATCATTGCTTCAGTGACTTCAAAATGACGAGCCGCTGCCAAGGTTCCATGCAAATCACGATAATTGACGGCGTCTAGCTTGAAAGCTGCTGTATACGATTTACGACGTTTCATAGCAGGTGATACAGGATAGAAAGAGTATAGAAAACAGTAAGAATAAAGGTAGAGTTGTAGGCTACCTTTATTCTTATTATATTAGAGTTCTCATGGCCAAATAGCCATTGAGCTGAGAGGTCAAAAGTGGCCCCGGTAGCGTAAGTGGTAACGCAACTGCCCGGTAAGCAGAAGATGCGGGTTCGAGTCCCGCCCGTGGTCCGACTTTTGCCCACAACTCAGCAGTTCTTGTGATAACTAGAGTTGTAGGCTATTATTGCGATAATCATGAGCACACAACGCCAAAAAAACGTATACAAACGTCAATTTTCATTTTCTAGCACAAACCGCTCTTATCTATGGACCGCTCTTATCTATGGGATTTTAGGGTTAGTTGTTCTATCGTCTATATGAAGTATACTGAGGCTAGCAGTGCTTTCTTTTGTTTTGCAATAGAGTGTTTTTGCGATTTTTTTCAGCCGTTTGTTCTAGTGTCTGCTTAACTGTTTAATTGTACCAAAAACAAGAATCTCAATCATAGTTTAACTTGTGAACACAAGAAACAGCGTAAACTAGGGAGAAACTGACTAAATAGGCTGGAAACAGGTGGTCGTCGCAACACACCGCAGCCGCCGCGGCCGCATCCCTTGCCGTAATGATCAAGTCACCGGATGAAGACTGTACCAGTCTACGAAGGCATGTCCAACAAATCCAACAGAGAAGAGCAATGGTTAGTTTGACAGACTGGAGCACGTTAACACGATTTTTGATATCGCTATCACTCAGTTTTCCGGAACTCTGTAATCGACGCTTATCACAGAGCTCTCGAAAGACGCGGTGATTCTCATATACTCAGCGTAGTTTCCTTATCGGTCCTGTGAGCGAGGCTGTTTTGTTCCTATTAGTCACCTTTTTTTCGGTGTTCCATCTGCAGACGTACCTGGCTACTTACTTCGTCCTGCTAATTAAGGTTCCAGATACCTTTGATTCGCAGCGCGTGTTCACACGTTCGCAAAAGGACATCTTTCTAGAAGAGTTGGTGGTGGTAAGCCTTAGTTCTGGTTCGTGCCTTGTATATATGTGGCAAAATCTTTTTTTAAGAGCAGCAATGATCCCCGGAGGGCCAACAATTTTACTTACCAATGGCGAGCGGATGACTGCCACGAGTCGGACTCGTCGAAACGCTGGCAGGGTAACAGTGAGCGAGGACTCTAGTGCGTATTGAATCCGAAACTCGCGGCTTTTGAACTACCTCCAGAAGTAATCGTTTTAGACACGAAGAGTTGTGATTCACGCCGTACAAAATCCGCCAGCAACCAGTCATAGGTCAGGAATGAGATAGGGAGAGAATAGGGTGGAGGAGAACTTCAACCCGTACTTGTTTTTGCTGATGCCCTACCATCGACGTGCAGTCCATATCTGAGGGCACAAGGGACATTTCCGAGTACGCCCGGGGCAGCTGCGAGGGTACGCACAGGAATCGATGTGTATGGGAACGTCCCACTCTGCCCTTCGACAAGGACTGTGTTCACTGTCCAGCTAGTTTGGTTCCAGATCCTTGCAGAGGGAATGAATGTGACGCTACGTTTGTGTAGAACTGTATTACCAAACTCTAGTATGACTAGTAATCCTCGAAAGCAGTAATCTGCTAATGCGCGCGATGCCGCGGCTAGGAAGTAACGCTCATCACCTTGCGACTGCCACTATTCTACTACGAGACTTCTGCAGAGAAAGTACGTTCTGAGCACTAGTTTATGGCTGCTGGCATCACAAGCGGAAGAATCCGCACTTGAACACTTGGATCTCAATGGTACGTTGCTTAGGAGTAATATGGAGATATTGGGCCAGTATAGGAGGGAAGCGGACGAACATCCGTCCTTCAACAGCTGTACGAAGCGCACCTCAGAAAGTGGAGCAAAAGTTCTGCCACCTGAACCAACCAGTACATCCGCTGGTACGATATTAAATGAGAGGTGTTCACATCTTGAAGAATACGCTGAATGGATTAGATACTCACCGAATGATATGAGTCTTGGAGAGCACATGGGAAAAATACATGTCGATTTGGACGATCTGAAACCCCTTGATTCAAGGAAAGCTACATTGAGCTAATTTATAGCGTAGCAATCACTCGGAACGGTGTGGAATGAGCTCACCTTGGCCGCGTATTCTATCGTAATTGAACGGTTATTGTTGGACCAGTCGGATCGCCCGGCTGACGCCGAGCTCTCCTCCTTCTCTTTAGCTCGGCTTCGCCGAGCTTGGCTTCGCCAGGCGCGCACCATAATTTGAACGGAACTTTTCAATACTCATACGGCGCTGTAGTGATCGAGTCGTAGCGGATAGAGCAAGGTTTGGGATCCTGCACTACTTAGCACACGCTTCTATTTGCAGCAGGGGTGTGGTCCGCGCCATAACGCCCATACAATACATAAATCTGTAGATATAGAAACAGTGTGTAGTCGGCCAATACAGCGCAGTATGAATCGCTTTGCAGATGCTAGTATTTGGGCTACGTATGTTAATTGTTCATTCCTTCTCCAGTATTATTCGTTTTCATCAGTAATTGAAAGTTTAAAAGTAAAAGGTGATTGTAGGCACAATATGCTATTATTATACTGTTGCTATGTTATTATTATGTCATTCTTGTTATGTTACATGCACAGTTCTTGTTATCCACTTGATACTCATCACGGTGCTGTTTCTTCGATCGATCGAAGCCGATCGGTTGTTTCGTCATCCTCATTGCCTGTATCCTCAGAATTTGAAGAGAAGTGAGCGGGAATCAATAAGCCCCGCCTCTGTGCTATATAAGGGAGGGGTTGGCCAGTACAAGAGTTCAGTTCAGTTCTTCTCGACAGCTCGACGGCCAACTGCCTCCCGCTACCCTGCTGTTTTGGTGCTTAACGATAAACGTGTGACTACGGGACGTCTCTGGACATCTGAAGCAGACTGCCAGACATATAAACCCTACATGATATCACTCAAAACATTATCTCAAGTTGATACACGACATAAATTGGTTCGCAACTCTGCTAGCGGTGGGTCCTTCCTTTCTTCAACCTACCAACTTCGCTTTCACCAAAGTAGCGGTGTGCCCTTGTCAAAGCGCATTGTACGTTTCCCAGTTGTACTCACACCGACCGCACCCCACCTCCAGTGCCCCATCCCATAGCCCTTTCCCTACCCTAATCCACTGCACGCTCTCACGTCAGGCTGCCCCGCGAGCAGCTTGTGTAGTGGCTCGCAATACGCAAAACGGTCGCTTATGTACTACAGGGTGGTATCACATTCAAAACATTACGTCCAATTGATACCACGGCATGAATTCGTTCACAACTCTGCCAGTGGTTGCTTCTGCTTCCACCGTTGCGGTGTCTTCCCAGTCGTACACCCACCAACCCCAACCCCTCCAGTCCCTTCCCTACCCTGATTCTCTGCACGCGCTTACGTCTAGCTGCCACGCGAGCAGTACGTCCAATGGCTCAGAACACACCAAATGGTTGCCTTATACAGTACAGGGTGTTATCACATCCGAAATATCACTTCAAATTGATAGCACATTATGGATTGCCTTGCAACTTTGCTAGCGGTTGATCCTTCCTTTCTTCTATTTGTCGCTTTCACTAATGCTTCTGTTTCCACCGTTGTGGTGTGCTGCCGTTGAAGCGCATTCTACATTCCCGCCTCCCTACCTTCGCTTTAACCTCACTCCCCTTCGCCCTACCTTATTTCCATGCCCCTCGCCCCTGCCCTTCCCTACCCTGCCCCACTCCACTCACGTCTAGCTGCCACGCTAGCAGCCCATTAACCTCGCTTCCCTCGCCCTACCCTTTCTCGCCCCACCCCGCCCTACCCTATTCCCTGTGCCCCCTAACCCCTGCCCTTCCCTACCCTGTCCTACTGCAGGTGCTCACGTCCAGCTGCCACGCGAGCAGCCCGTGCAATGGCTCGGAGTGCACTAAGTAGTTGTCTTATATAGTCTTATCGCAATCAAAACATTGGATGATACATTTGCACCGAAAGCTTTCTGGATTTGATTTTTGGCTAGCGGTCGTTTTCTCTTTTCACTTCCATGTTGCCGTGAAGCATTTTGCGGACGGACAAACACACATGGCCTACAGACCGACAAACCGACACACAAAACTTTTGCTTTATAGAATAGAGTGATTCAGGAAACCAGTGGTGGAAAAGGAACCAGTGGTAGAAGGCCTTGGGTGGCCTCATTTTGCTTCTCCTGAGCGCCTCGATCGGCGAACCTCCTGTGATGAAACCTGCCTTGGCCAGGTGGATGCCGTCGATGCGCTCACCTTCTTTCGAATGTTTGAATACTCGATTTCTTCTTCTTTTCTTCTCACCTGCACTTGATCAACGCTCATTTTAATTCCATAGGTGGCAGTGTTGAAAACAGCAGTTATGACGCCACTATGTAGTTAGGGAGCGTTGACCATGTGTACAGATGAGAGGAAAAGCCGGGTATAAGTTGAGAATTTAAACGTGTGAAAAAGGGTACACGCGGCGAAGCTGCGCCCGTCCTGCGAAACCAGTCCGTATCACGGATTGCGCCCAGACACACTTATTTTCCTGGATACACAACCAAATTACCGTGAAATTTGGCTTCAGGATAGTATATGAAGACATATGGCTGCGTTTATACTTTGCGGCAGCGTAGCGTAGCGCTTCCAGCGTACGCCAGCGGCAGTGCCGGGGAGAGGATGGATATCGATCTAGCGTTCCCAGCGTCACCAGCGTAACGCTAGCGTTACGCTGGTGACGCTGGGAACGCTAGATCGATATCCATCCTCTCCCCGGCACTGCCGCTGGCGTACGCTGGAAGCGCTACGCTACGCTGCCGCAAAGTATAAACGCAGCTCCTCATTTCAGTCATCACCAGCTGAGGTGAAGGTCGCCGTGAAAGCTGCTATTGAAGCTGGTTATCGTCTCATCGACACGGCTGCTTGTTATCAAAATGAAGAAGCAATTGGTGAAACTCTGAAAGATCTGATCCACGCCGGAAAAGTTACTCGCGAAGAGCTGTTCATCACCACGAAAGTATGATGCTGCTACATACTACACTTTTAGTTCAAGTCTCGCGGTACCACCCATTTCCAGACTTTAGGAGGAAATTTACTTGAGATCGAGAAGAAGCTTTCATGTTCTGGAAACAAGGGAAAGGAGGGGTAGTGACGGCGCCATTTTATGTCTTTTGGTCTGCCCTCCCACTGAGGCAATGTCGTGGGTGGATTGTATGTATGCACCTCATTTTCCATTCTCATTTGCAACGGAGTTTCCACAAGAAGTATGACCAGAACCCAAAAACTATGTCTCAGACCTTTGATGTTCTATTACTTCTGCGTCAACGAGGTTTGTAGGTGGAACTTTATTTACGGCCTAACGTTTCGACCAGATCGTCGTCCTCAGAGGCCTGAACGTAGCTCAAGATTTTTAATTTGCTCTCTACACGCCTTGTCGCCCCAGCGTTTCCGACGGTACTTCCAGAAACAACCAAAAACCTCCGTAGGTAAAACATACTCACCGAGTCCACCGCGGCATGAGCGGATCAACGCCGCTCCACTAGATGTTAGTAATGTAAGTGAGACACACCGTGCTGTCCTTGTGTAGTAGCTATCAGGACTTGCACATCTCACGGCTTACATCATAGATGTGATGAGATGTGCAAGTCCTGATAGCTACTACACAAGGACAGCACGGTGTGTCTCACTTACATTACTAACATCTAGTGGAGCGGCGTTGATCCGCTCATGCCGCGGTGGACTCGGTGAGTATGTTTTACCTACGGGAGGTTTTTGGTTGTTTCTGGAAGTACCGTCGGAAACGCTGGGGCGACAAGGCGTTTGGCGGTGTAGAGAGCAAATTAAAAATCTTGAGCTACGTTCAGGCCTCTGAGGACGACGATCTGGTCGAAACGTTAGGCCGTAAATAAAGTTCCACCTACAAACCTCGTTGGCGCAGAAGTAATAGAACATCAAAGTTACAACAATGCCGAGGTTATAATGAGACTATATCTCAGACCGTTTCTTCATGGGAGGGAGAAGTCCTATCGAGTGCTCGTAGGACTCTCAAACATACTTGAAAAAAATACTTGAAAAAGGTTGGTGGTGAGCACCATAGTTCCGTAATACAGGTGCACTACCCACAGGCTCTATCGGGAAATGTGAATTAAAAACTTATTGTAAGAAAGCTTCCCATTACAGCTATGGGTGTCACATCTTCATCCGGAGGATGTCGAAAGTGCTCTACGCGAATCTCTTCGTAAACTCCAAGTCGAATATGTGGATCTTTACCTTGCCCATGCGCCGACGGCCTACGATGTAAGTGACTGTAACTGAAATCGTATTGATATCACGCCTCAAACGAGCTCGCCCGGTTCGTTGCTGCCGTTGCGCTCTAGCCTTAACCTTTGAACCGCTGCGACGGTCACAAGAAGTTCTGACATGAGTAAGAGATGTAGATGTAGCAATGGTCCAACCATTAGCGGTAGAGCGCCATCGGCCGCACTTCCAAACCGTGTGACCATATCGCAACGCGTGACTTGGCTTCAAAGCACAAGCCACGCAGTGATACCTACATATTTTTATCTCTAATAGGTTCACTGCTTTGAATGAGGGTGTTATCGCAGTTGATAGGGGTCACTTAGCAGCGAAACGAAGCCCACTTCACTAGTGCCAAAGTCGTCGTACCTCCGAACGGCCGTCATCAACAGAAGTAGCTCTTGGACGAGTAATTAGTTTTTCAGAAAAACATGAAGAAACAAGATCATTCTGTGAAAGTCCAAGATACATGGCATGGTTTGGAGGAAGTGTATAAGAAGGGGCTAACTAAAGCTATAGGCGTTTCAAATTATAGCGGCGAACAGATAGAGCGTGTTCTTCAAACTGCTACCGTACCTATTCACAATTGCCAGGTATAGCTTTCACAAACTCCTATCAATGAATGTAGGCGTTGTGAAGAGCATCAGGTTCAGGTGGAGCTCCACCTTTACTGGCCTCAACACGAACTGCATGAACTTTGTAAGAGGCATGATATCTGTCTCACATCTTACGCAACGCTTGGGTCTCCTGGTCGTGTCAAAATGAAAGCTCTGGCAACTGGACAGTGAGTTTCGAAGGCGGCTAATACTTTTCGTTTGACAGCTAAAGGCCAGAGATGCATCGAACATTCGCCGGTGTCGAAATTGCATTCCACGACAACCAGATGGGTGGAGACTAACGGGGCTTGTGCCCTTCTCACTGATGCGTCCCTCCTTGTTATAATGAAAAGGGAAAGAGTGAGCCAGTGAGCAACAATGATTGCCAGCTCCGCCCATGTGATTATCGTGGAATGTGACCTTGAAAAAAAATCTTGTCTGAAGTAAGTGTCTGTGCTTATCTCCGGGATTCCTGGTGCTAACTACGTGTGTGCTGACTCGGTCCACAGACGGTGAAGCTGTCTCTCCCGTCGCTCAGCGGTAGCTACCCTTCTGCCTCACTTCTGCTCACTTAGGTTTTTTACGGTTCTATTGCAATCGCCATGATTTCTTTCCGCATTGATCGCTGACCAGATACATTGCGGACGCTAGGGGGTGTCAGGGAACTGGTCGCGTTACACCCGTTCTCCACCAACCGGGCGAACAACAACAGTTGGAGGAAAACGGACCGGCACCGTGCCAAACCCACACACGAATCCCTCCTCCAGATATGGCCCGGTATCAGCAGCAAACAAATTGTCCTCTTCCTTATTAAAGCTCTCAATAAGTACTTCAGGCGCTCTTGGCCGCTTCGTTACGCTTAATTCTATTGTTTACAACAAAATAAGATTCTGTAGTTTGTATGATTGTAGGCCGGTTACGTGGCCAGCTAATAAAAGAGATCTAGACGACCCGAACGTGAAAGCGATTGCAGCAAAGTACTCAAAAACCCCAGCACAGGTAAGTTCCACCCATAGACGGCCTTATCATTGATAAATGTCTACAGGGTTTTTTATTCGGTCAGCCCTATTCAGATTCTGTTGCGCTACGTAATCGATCCGGAATATTGCGGTAATACCGAAATCTGTAACTCCATCTCGAATCGTTGAGAATTTCAAGGTGCCTTTCGCAACATACCTTCTCTGATTTCAACCACATCAGCGAGAGCTATTTCAGGTGTTCGATTTCGCGCTGACCGTGAACGAAATGAATTTGTTGAATTCCGCTACAGAGAATCATAAGAGACTTTTTATGCAGGATTTGTGAGCAAAAAATTTATTGAAATCAGACGTAGTGCGAATCCCATCATCAGACAGGAGAGGTGTTTCGAAATAGCAAAGATAGCACCATCGTGTCATTAGAATGCTTTCATACTTTGTGGCAGCGTCCACCACGACCATCAGCATCGTCCTTCAGCTTCAGACTAGGAAAGGATAGCTATCGATCTAGCGAATCGCAGCGTCTACCAGCGTCCACTAGCATCCGTCAGCGTCCCGAGGGACTAGGAAAGTAAGTATCGGTCTAGCGTTTACCAGCGTCCATCAACAACCATCAGCGTGCAGGAGTACCGTATTGTGTAGTACTACAGCCCGGGTGCACACGTCACAATTTCACGAGCCTAATCCAGCTGTCTGCTACCTTCCTACTTCCCCATACTCTCTACTCCTGGTCGCTGGTGGACGCTGGTAGACGCTAGATCGATATCCATACTTTCTAGTCCCTTTGAGACGCTGATGGTCGCTGGCGGACGCTGATGAACAGTGCCGTTGGCTAGATCGATACTTATACTCTCCTTGTCGCAGACACTGACCAACGCTCCAAACGCTGATGGTCTCTAGTTGACGCTACCGCAAAGTATGAACGCGGCTTGCAAAGTCCTCCTGGAAAATTTTTTCGGGCAAAGATGCTGACCATCGAAATTCCTCATTTCTGCGTCACAGGCTTCCGCAATAGATCACGCAATCACAAGGACGCAGAAATGTTAATAACTCGACAGATGGGTCAGCTAGAAGGCGGGTTATCCATCACAGTGTCATTGGTAGAGAAGTGTTGAGCCGCACCCTTGCTAGTTGACTTGTTATTTCTGGATTACAATACCGCTTTTTTCAGCATGGAAGGTCATCCGGAGGACCCTTTCGCAGCAGAGAGAAAACACTGACCCATCTGAAGAAGCGCTCGCCTTTATGATGTTAATAACGCATGAAACAATTTATGTTGCCCTGTTTCGGATTTGATGCCTCACTAGTTTTTTATGTGTGTGCGTGTTTTACGTAACACTCATTCCACACATGATAAACATGTTTTCCTTTATCAATAGCGAAAAAACAGAGGAACAAGCCTCAAAATCACATTGTCTGCAGCTCTTACATATTCGCTCAACTTCAAATGGCTTTAGAGACAAGTACGAGTGGAAATAGAGAAGCAGTAAAGTAGTACAAATATTCAGAAGTGTGTCCGAATAGGACCCCTCATCCTATCGTCAAAGACTCCACAAGGACTCTAAGGCGGTGGACACGATCGTTGTGGGAGGGTAGTCGTCGCCAAGTCACTGATGTTAAGGTTGTGAGTGGGCAAGCGGCTACATCCTACCTACACCTTCCCCTAATGACAATGGCGTTGGCTTTGGCCACCCTCCCACAGCGACCATGCCCATTTGCCTTCAAACTATGTCCACGAGTAGCGACCCCTTTTCTCCGATATGCTCAAGAAAACAGCCGAATTAAGGTAATGAAGTTTTCTTTTTAGAAGCGCCTTCAAAATTTCATAGAACTCGATTGGGATCAGGAACAGACCTTGACTTGATTTGATATTTCATCACTTAAATGTTGGGTGTGATACCCAATCGCTCCTAGATTTTGATGAGTGTTCGAACCTTTTCTACTAAACAAATCATATCAAGGAGAATTGAGAGAGTGTGTCAAAAGCAGTTGTCAGCAGCATTCTGTCTTTCCTTTTGTTTCATTTGTGGCCTTTGCTGTTTCCGTTTTGTTTTTTCTTTTTGACCAAGCGAGAGAATGTGATATTTGGCTTGTTCCAGGTGTTTTTACGCTACTGTGGGATGATTATGAGGTTTTTGAGAACCGTCTGGTAGGAGTAGGTAGCTATGCTTCAAATCCATGAGATGCGGTAGGCGCACCTGCGTACCTCATTTGAATGCGGTTGCCCTTTTAATGAGATGTTTCCAGTATAGGACAGTTGCAATGATTTTCCTAAATTGACATGTTTCTGGAAAGGCGCCCCCTGCGCAGTGTTCAACGACGTACGCAGTCACGCCCCCTCCTCCCATCTCCGAGATGGAGCAGTAGGTTAATCGAAACAACTCGTAGGCCTCATTGTGACATGCACGATGTTTATACTCGAAATCCCTGAGATCGGGTAGGCGTGGCCGCATGTTTCAACTTAACCTGAAGGTGTCTATGCTTCTGGTGAGATATTTCTTGACACAATTGTTGTCGTGTCTCTGTCCAACAAGAACAAGATGACAGTTGTCCCAGACTGGAATATTCCACGAGTAACCAGTTCCGTGCCATGTTCAAATGCCACGCCTACTCTGGAGTCAGGGATAAAGAGTGTATATTCCGAACATTAATGTGATAAAGTTTTTGCGAGCGAGTACGAAGCAGGGCTCATGGTCCGTCATCAACATGCGCGACATCGTGATCAAACATTGATCCGAATGCCAACAATCCACCAATGCCTTACCCTTCTGAGGCACGTCCCACAGTTAGTTGGTCCAATATTCGTCTCTGATGAAAACCTGAAGAATGCTGCGAGTTCGTGAATGCCGATAGGCGAAGGGGTCGAGCGCCTCTACGATTCGGAATCAAGGTGGAGTTCATGGTGTATTCTCAAAGAAAGGGTGATGTCTATCTATCTTCCAACCGTCCAACCAGGATCTTTCGGAGGCGTGATATCAGCTAGCGTCTTCAGGATCTGATTAGAGCAGGTTCCACATCTTGTGGAAAATGGAGACCTTAAAATTTTTATAAAAAGTCTTGGAGTATCGTTCCGAGGGATGGGTACTTTGCAAGCAGAAACGATTTATACTAGATCGCAGTGTCATTGACATATAATTGCGTTGGTTTAGTATAGTCTTCTACGATTTGTTTTAAAATACGAAGCTAGGAATCTCCACTGAGCCCTGCACAGCGACACAACTATTCGTCGGTTTTCACGTAATTCCAGCGCTTTACCGAAAAGTTTGAAGGTCGGTAAACTCTTCAGATTTTTTTGAGAAGGACCGCATATTTGTGTCAGCAGACTCGCATATAACAGCGGGTTCAACTCCACATCTCTCGTAAATTATCAATCGAACTTTCAGCTCGAAGCTAGAATATGATCACTCAAAACCTTTAGAGCGTTTATAGTCGTTGTCACCAGTTAGCAGGCGTTAATAGCAGGAGCGTAGGCTTTTGCTGGAGCCGGATCCGCCGCTTCCCACTTGATCGTTAGGTTCGCGGCATTCACGTGAATGAAGGAAGGAACCTAGCCCCATTCGACAAAATCTACGTCGCTCCCCGACTTCCTAGGATGTGCCAACCCTACAGCAGGAGAACATAGAGAAGCAGGCTTCTCCGGTCTTGCTTATGGAACCTCATTATTGTCCTTCTCGAGTGAAATATCCTGGTGAACTGTGGATACAACTGCCACAGCCCTTGGCGCCTATGAGCCCATCCACTTGTGATTCTCCAGATCGATACGTATGCTTTTTGCTGCAAATCTTCCGGTTCTCCAACGGTGCGAGATGTAAGGACGCGGTAACTTCAACACTCGCACGCGGGTTGGCGCATTGGAACGCGACCGATGCGCATACATTCGACTGTAGATTGTACGGCCGGAACGCGACCGAAGCACTGCCGTCGGCGAATTCTGAATACTTTGCGAACTGATGGCCTCTACTTTTATCGCCACTCCCTACTTATTTGTTTTAATAAGGATGATCGCACGATGGGGAGGTATTAAACACAAAGGAAAAATTAGGACACTTCGAAAACTTGATGGTATAGAATGTCTTTATTACTCTGGATATATACACATGTACAATAGTAGAAGTCAGTAAAGTGTACTGATGATTGCTTCATTTCAATAAAAACATATTTCCGGACAGAAACTTCTCGCAAACATTATGTTTCTTTTTCGATGAGGAACTTCGTTGGCCGTAGCGGATCTGAAAGATATACACAACGATTATGCCAGTGCAAAGGATAAGCTCATAGTGCGAAAGTGAGGGGTGGAGGCGGTGCGGAATTCGTTTTAAGCGTGGGTGGCGCTGCTATTCCGGTAGGCCCTGCTGTTCGAAACCGAGTTGCAGCCCATGTCTCTTGTCTGGTACAAGACAGATCGACAACTGTGAAAGAGAAATTTGCGCATCAAGAAACGCCAACTGCCAATCGCAAAATTTGAAATGATAAAAGGCGGAAGATGGATAGTACTTGACGCAGAGTAAACTTTGCTCGGATTCAGTTCCAAATTAAGTAGCGCTCATCGCTGCACGATACGTCGCGCGCGATGGTGCGACAAAGTACGACTGCCTCGTCCGTCTCCCCGCAAAACCCAACGATAAAGTGTTTGAGCGACGTTGACAAAAAGCGTAGCCGCGGTCTCGCACTAATGCTGCTGATGCGAAGTCAGTGTAAAGTGCGAGATGCCAGTGAAAAAAAAAACGCTGTTCAAGAGCTCACCTCATGCAAGCACAATCTCAGGCTTGCAGCATCGACAACACCTCGTAGTCGGACCTCTTGCCATTACCGAGTACGTATCTTCAGTACTTTTAGATGGACGGATCCTTCTATAAGTATTGTATTTAAAGGCAAAGCTTCTAATCATTCGTCATCACAGATAGTGGATTAGGGATTCGCATATAGACGACAAGGTTCTGAGTAACTTGATAGTGAAGAAAGAAAGCAGGAAAAACATGCCAACTGCTCTAGATTGAAACCCATTTTGATACAAGTGTGCCCAATGAACTTAGCATCTCCAAAACTAACACTACGCCCTCATCCGCACAGCTGATTCCCCGATAAGAACTCTACGACCGTACAAGTGACGATTTTCATGCTTTTTCGTCCTGCAGCTTCGTTTTTCACTGAAAGGCGGGCCTCGGAGACGG